TTGCGCCTTTCCTGGAACTCACTTGGTAGCCCAGGTTGGCCTCGAACTCACAGAGATCTGCCTGCCTCTGCCTCCCAAGTGCTGGGATTAAAGGCATGCGCCACCACCGCCCGGCGAGCTTTTTCTCATTAAAGTGAGCTAGTCAAAAAATGGAGGCATACCGTCTCATTTTGCCATTATAATTAGCATAGAACAAGGTTGATTTTTCTTAAAATCAATAAAATTGACTAAATTTTGCATTTTCAAAAATGCATAGAGACATAGAATCAGTACTGAGCTGTAATCAAGATAAGTATCACTGTTCCACCTCCCAAAGCAGCCCCTCTTCACATCCCAACTAGTTCTCCTCCCTGACACAGGCAGCCCTTGGTCTACTCTAAATCTACATCACAAGACTCATTCTTTTTTTTTGCTGGTATAATAATAGCAATGCCAACACCAGAACAGGGTGACTGTCCTTAGTCTTAAAAGTCTTAATATGCTCCAAACTAAAAAAAAAAAAAAGAAAAAAGAGTGCCACTAAGAGGCCATCATTTGCAGTATTTGTGGGTTTCAGATAAGGAATGTTCCGGTAAGGTCTTCTAAAATCTAGACATTTCCAAACTGAAACACATTTTGTAGCATGAATATTAAAGGGTCTTTATTAATAAAACAAACCCGGTGCCAAGTATTGGGGTGAACACTGGAAGATCAGAGAGACAGAACAGGCCACAGCTAACCTCACCTGGCCAACTTCTCAGCTGATCCTGTTTCCCCAGACTGGAAGCCTCTGTGTCCTCATATCCCAATGGCTCTCAGCTGAACTACTGCTAAAAGCCTGAAAGCTTAACCAGCCAAAATCCTTCTAGTTTCTGGTCCTCACGCCTTATATATCTTTCTGCTTTCTGCCATCACTCCCTGGGATTAAAGGCTTACTTTCTGGGATAAAAGGAATGAGTCACCACACCTGGCTGTTTCCAATGTGGCCTTGAACTCACAGAGATCCAGAGGGATTTCTATGCTAGGATTAAAGGTGTGAGTGCCACCATTTTCTAGCCTTTGTATCTAGTGGCTGTTCTGTCTCTGACCCCAGATAAGTTTATTAGGGTGCAAAATATTTTGGGGAACACAATACCACCACAACATTTGGTTTCCAAGAATTTCAGGCAAGTAATATTCCACCCACAATCATAATATTTTAGACCAAGTCATATTTCTAGTGCCAGGCCTGACTTGAACTTTATAGATAAAGAAACAGAGGCTTTGAGAAAATTTAGGAAAAGGAAAAAGAATTGCCTATAGTTATAATGTTATGGGTCTGGAGTCATTCAGAGATTCATCAGTCTGACCATGAATAAAATTTAATAAAGAAGAGGCTTTATTAAATAGTGGCCAGGACAATGAATAATGGCCAGGTCCATACCTGAGATTCATACTCAGAGTATGGCACCAAATTACATTAGTCAGGGGCTTATAAAAGCAGAACTAACAAGGCTCTGTATTTTATGCCTTCATGCAATCAGAGGCAAGCACACATCCTGATATACTTCCTGCCTACATACTTCCTGCCTACCTGTGATCAATTGGGGCTGTGCAGTCGGAGCAACCAAGCTTGTCTACAGAAGCAAAAACACATAACTTGTTACCTTATATGAGCAACAGCACTCAGCATTCCAGGAATATATCTGTCCTTGGGCAAGTGGAGCTTTACAGGTTAGAGTCAGTTATGTTTTATAGATCTCCTAAGCACAGTAATTTAAACTTAAAACATAACATTAGCCATCACAATAAAGGGGACATATCACAGCTTGATTTTAAGACTGTCTGATTTTAAATTAAATTTTAAATTTTCTTATTTTAAATGATCTTATTTTTTTAATTGTGTGTGTACATGGTAGGGGGATGTATATACATGGGGTTGTATGTACATGTACATGCAGATGATGGGAGAGGCCAGTAGAGGGCAATGGATACCCCTGGAGCACTCTTAACCACTAAGCCATCTCTCCAGCCACCTAGATCTATTTTCTTAACTTTGTTCTGATTGTGCCTTCATAAGATTCAAACAGTAGGACAGAGTGAAAACATTCTAGAGAGCTAGGTGCTAGAATCCTCTTACTTTTTAAAATAACAATAAACAGAAGGAGAGATATAGGTAAAAATTTGGTTAATTTTACTAATAAAGAAATAAAAACAATCATTTAAGTATAAGATAAGGCTATGATCTTAGAATATCTTCCTTACAACCTTTGTGAAATGTGAAGAAGATAACACCCGGGCCCCTTATGTTCTCTGTCAGAGTCATGTATTTTGTAAAGCAAAATCTAGACCAATTAGATCCAGTGCTGTAGCTGTTCCAAAGCCATGAGCATCAGCTGCCTAAAATTCCTAAGCAGAGAAAAGGATCTTCATTCTGTGGTTTGTCTTTCAGGTTGGAGTCCCCAACCAGATCTCTAGTGATGGAAGCCCCAAAAGGGGTAGAAATAAATGCAGAAGCGGGCAATATGGAAGCCACCTGCAGAAGTGAGCTGAGACTGGAGTCCAAGGATGGGGAGGTAAGGAGTGGGAAGAATAGAAATTGGGAGTCCACTGGCCTGAGAGCCAACTTTTCCCCTAGGCTGGTTTGCACTGAGATTAATCTTACACAATATCAACCAAAGGTGCCCACAAGACAGTTGAACAGCATGACTATAAGCCAAGCCCATCATACATAAAAGTTATGATTCATTATTTGTGAAGTACTGGGATTAAGTTGTGTACACACCCATGTGGCTGAAGACAAACTTAATTCACATGTACTTCTTTTATGTTATGTGCTTGGGTTCGGTTCTCTTTGAGAATGGGAAGTTGGGTCTAAGCACTATCCTGAGTCAGAACAAGCCAGAACCTAACACTGTCAGAATAGATGGCCAAAGAGTAAAGTGCTGTTGACTCTCCTTACCACAACACAACCCCAGTCAATGAACACAAAAGCCACTTGTAATTTTATAGACAAGTTACGCCAAGTTCCCCTAGCGGCAAGAGTCTGGTAGGACTGCAGATTACACAGGGATTTTTAAGTGTTCATAGGTGAACTGTTTTATTTAAGAATGAAATTTAAAAGGGCAACCTGACTTTTTAAGATAAAACACTACTCCACATTGCATCTCTACGTGGAGGGTGTCTAGCTCTCTTGCATAATTATATCCACTCAGTATCTTTTAAAAAAAAGTTTGGTTTAGTTAGACATTTGCTTTTTTGTTTTAAAAGAATTTGTCTGATGGAGCCTTCCATTATGACAACTGCCTCTTCAAATAGCCATGAACTGCAAGTCGCACTCATAAAAACAGAAACTGATTCATAAAAGCAGCTCCCAGCCACTCAAACTTGACCTCTGGAGGAGGCAGTTATAATCAAAAACCCAATGACACCTTTTGCCACAGCTTATTTTTTTTTTATCTATATCCAGCATTTCTCAAAGTATATTCTGTTGCGTATTAGTGTCACCATTAGAAAAAGAAAGCAAGAGGAAGGCTTACTAATCTTTTAAAACATGTATTCTATGTGTTCTACTGTCTTCCAGGAACTTCATATTAGCTGTGAGCATGCAATGCCCTGTATTAATGAAAAATGTTTACTGGGTCATTCCTACATTTATTTGATTCTATGACACTGTTCTTATTCTGCATATCATACTTTTTGCAAAAATGCTAACATCAACCAATAAGGCATGACCTTGCTAGATTATAGGTGCATGAGATTAGAGACTGACTTTTATTTTAAGACTTATTTATTTTATGTATATGAGTTCTCTATCAACTTTATGCCAGAAAGGGGCATCAGATCCCACTGTAGATGGTTGTGAGCCACCATGTGGTTGCTGGGAATTGAACTCAGGACCTCTGGAAGAGCAGCCAGTGCTCTTAACCTCTGAGCTCCATAGACGTTGTCTTATCCCAACTACCAACATTGTTCAGCCCAAGTCAGTACTTGTAAGGTTTAAATTGAATGGAATATTCAGCTCTTTATGAATTTCAAGAACTTATATGGAAGCCTTTAACTGACTCTTTCTTTGCTATTTTTGTCTCTCTAGATTAAGTTAGATGCTGCGAAAATCAAACTACCTAGGCTGCCTCGTGGATCCTACACACCCACAGGAACGAGGCAGAAGGTCTTCGAGGTCTGCGTCTGCGCCAATGGGAGGTTATTCCTGTCCCAGGCAGGAACTGGTTCCACTTGTCAGATAAACACAAGTGTCTGCCTTTGAAGGACTATCCATAGTGGACAATTGTTGGCAGCATAAAGGCCCTTTTTGGCTTGAGACACTGGCTGCCAGCTATTTTTACTAGAACACAGAAAGCCTATCAAAGACCTTTTGTGTGTGTGTGTGTGTGTGTGTGTGTGTGTGTGTGTGTGTGTGTATGTGTGTGTGTGTGTGAGTGGGTTTGTGTGTGTAGTGAGTGGATATAAATATATATAAATATATATAAATAAATATATATATATCCTCTGTATAAAATGAGGTTTCAGTACAAAAGGAACCATGGGTGACCCTGTGACATCATCCACTGTCATTTTCCCACTCCACCCCCATCACCCACATGACTGAATCTAAGAACCCATTCAGGCCCAGCATTCCCCAGGCAATTTCAAATCACACAGTGGATTGCGCACTTAGAGAATATCCATCGATATTTTCAAGTAATCCCCTGGTTTCTCTCTTAGAGTCATTAGAGGCAGTGATGGCGGGAATCTTTGGATCACTCTCAAGTAATGATACATTGGTATAAAAGATAAACATTTGACCCATCTATAATCCCAACACCAGGCAAGTTGTGGTGATGGAGGCCAGCCTGGGCTACATAGTGAGGTTGTCTTTAAAACATAGACATTTGGTTTCCCTTTCTTAGCTTCAGCCAAGATGGCCAAGTTCTTCTCTTCAAGATAAGGCTAGGGTACACCCATCGAAATTAGTCACAAAAACTCAAAATGGCCACCCTACCTTTGTAGACCAACATACTAGGAGTTGTGTGGTTAAAAGAATGGGGGCAGGGAGGTTGAATTCTGAAAGAATATAAGTCACTCACCTGACTTCTACTTATTCTACTTCCTTTAACTCACATAGTTTCCTACAGTCAAATAGTAAGAGCTTTTAATCAGCATAGAAGAGGACATCAGCTCCTCCACCAAAGGCTAGAAGCTATTTAATGGACTGACAGACAAAAAATACATGGGCAAGACATCTCATTTCAGGGAAACCTGTCTCCCAAGTGTTTGGGTTCTCACTTCTGACTTTATCCAACGGATGAACTCAAAATCATTAAATCAATCAGAATCCCAAAGAGTGAGCTCCAGATCCCAAGAGAAGTTATTTCAAGATGGAAATCTAACTAAGAGTACCATAGGGAAGCTAACTAATTTTCCTAAGTTTCTTGAGATGGGTAGACCATTGAGAGACACGTCATATTTTCAAGGGCTTGCACACTCTCTTGCTTTGCTCTTGTAGATTGTGTCAATGCTGGGTATTCATATTCCTGAACTCACTGTTGTGAGACCTAAGCCACTACATGCTGCCAGAATTGCTCACAGCAGGTTAATATAAACAGAGTCATGTGTCTTCATCAGAACCACTATCCCCTGGGTTCAGCAGCACCCAATCCCAATATATGGAAATAGTCTCTAATTCCCGCCATCAGCTACCTCTTATCAACCCCACTTTCATTGCCATGCCCCAGGGTCACCCTGGCCAGCTCTTGTGCTGGGACAGGGGATTACACCATCTCTGTTCAAAGAGGGGGAAATGTGCCTATGCCTTAAGCCAATGCACTCAGCAAGGAGAAGCACATCCTATTTATCTTGTTATCTGTAGTTTATTTTGGGTGGTTGAAGGGAAATGGTTTAGTCATGACTGGGCATCAGAAACTGGTAGACAAACCAACTGGTTTCCACATTTGGACTCAGAGGAGCCCAGAATGGAGGTATAACTGAAACTAGGTGAAACAGTGGCCCTACAATCTTGAATGAAGTTGCTTTTGTAGGCCTCAGTGGTATTTGTTTTTGTTTTTGTTCTCCACAAGGTTCTAATTTTTCTTACTCCACAAGCTGAACGGTTTGTTATAGGAGACAAAAAAAAAAAAAGAGGTTTGCTATTTCTAATATGATAAGCAAGCAACAGGGTGAGGTTTGCACACATGGAATGTACTCCTCAGTTGCTTATTGCCACAAAGCAGGGACTGTCCGAACCTGACTCATGACTTGGACTTCTGGCTTCTAGGCCAGGCCTGGCTCCCTTCACCCTCTCTGTATATTTTATGCAGAGGCACTGGATGGGTCCATTTTAGGCCAAGAACTTAAAATTGCTCCATTTGCAGTATGGAAATCTAAAACAGGATCCTGTAAGGGGCCTCAGGTTACTGGACCTCTTATAGGCCTTTCTGCCAGGATCTTATAGGCCCTTTCCACCAGGATCTGCCTGTCTCACATACAGGTATCATTTTCAAGTCACAAAAAGCCCTTCTTAGCTATTAGAAGCACCTACCCTATATTCTTCAGATAAACAATAACTCTGAAGTCCCTTGTGGCTAAGTATATAAAGAAGACAGGGTTGTTTGGGAGGGGGTGTTTCGTTTTGTTTAAGCAGACAAACTGCCTTTGCATTTGACCAACTCTCACCCATTGTCCATGGAAAAGAAGAAAAAACATGATTCCCTGAACCTCTTCTGATTTTATTTCCAATTGTGACATACTCCTTGGGAATTTTATGACAATTAAAAAAATATTATGGTTATACATGCGATATTGAATCTGAGAGCAAACAAATCACACAAACACAATAAAAATAATAACAATTGAGAATATAAATCAAGAACTCTATGGAGGAATACATGATACAAAGTTCTGGTTAATTCTGGTTTTCAATGAGGTTAAGGAACCACAGGACACCAGGTAATATAGAGGATCTCTGGCATGAGAAAATTACAAATTTCAGTTCAGACTAGAAACTGCTAAAATGCATTCTTAGTTGTAAATGAACACACACACACACACACACACACACACACACACACACACACACACACAATGCTCTCCAACCAGAATATTTGTCCATAGTCATGAGAGAAGCTTTCACCAGAATTCTAGAGAAAGGGGTCAGCATTTATATTAATGTCTGCTGACCCCTACTTTTTGAAAATGAGAGTCTTTCTAATCTTTATATATAGTATCTTCTAGACAATCATATTCCTGGGTAAGCAGCTGGTGGATTAACAGGATTCAAATGATTCTTCAGCCTCTTAGACTTCTGGTATGCTAATATTCTTCAGAAAACATTTTACAAATCAACATGTAATCTCCAGATAACATTTATCATTTAGTTCTGTTTATCATGTCTGTTCTGAAAATCATGAGAGTTTCATTTAGAGGGACTACCTCAAGATGACATGGGTTTTAAAGAGCTCTATGGTGACATCTATATAGGTAGAAACTTGATGTGTGGTTTCATAATTGTTACATGACTAAGGGATAGCACTTACAGACTTGAACTGGGTTTTTTTTTAGCTTCCTTCAGGTCATTCTCTCTCAAGACAAATGGTACTGCACATCCACAAACCATAGACCAAAGATTATTTGAGGGTTGACCCTATAGAAAGGGTCAATAAACTTCAAACTGGAGACCAAGCCTGATTCCACAGCCACAGATATTTACAAGTCGTATATGAGCCATGTCACTCTGTACCCTCACCATTGACTGCATGTCCAACAAAACAACGTTGTGATTATACAGCCCTTTACAGAAGACATTTGCTGACTCCTGAGTTACAGATCACTTGTAGAATGTGTTAGACATAGTAGAACAGAAGGCAGATTTCTCAGGCACAAGGAGTAGCCTGTTTCCATGGGGGCTTGGGAATATAAAACTTGGCTGAGGTTTTAAGAAAGATGTATCTAAGAGAGAAGGCAGCTCAGAGGACTTGGGGTAACTGAGAAAGTGGAACGAAAAGAAGCTTGGAAATAGGAAGCTGTGTTCCTCCCACCCTTTTCAGGGGAGCTTTGATGGCTGTTTCTCGGATGAGGGATGCTTCTCAAGTGAGCAATGCTTGACCAGAAGTGAGCCAGGGAGAATGATCTTGATTCACAATCTTTTCCCTAAAAATAGTTGAGTCCATCTACACCTACAAAGACTGGATCTTCTCATGTGCCAGAGAGACTTCCACATCTAGGTCTACCAGAGAATGCTTTTGACCTTAGATGAACTCTGTTACCCATACCTCCAATGTGGCCACTGTTCCTACAGCCCCAGGTTAGACCGATGAATCACCGGAAGGATGCAAAACAATAACATCTTTATATATGTAAAAATAAACAGTGAAATTCTATGGAGCTATTTCTAGAAGTGACCAGATGAGTGGCAGTGTACTTTTACTCTTCCAATTTGGGTCTTTTCTTTGCTCCTTTGGAGTGGAAGGAATACAAAAAAAGGACATGTTTCATGTTCACATACCTCTGCTTCTGTGTGGTAAGATCAGTTGCTACCACAGATCTGCCCCTTTTGCTGATAGTGGTGTTATACTTACTATTGTTAATTCAGCATCATTATAAATGAACTTTTATGGGTGTGAGTATTTTCCTTGGAGAGACAGGTATATTTCAATGAGAATGTCTACCATTTTTTGGTCCTTAATCTACATCACTACAGGAAAGCCTTCCACGTGACTATATCTGAAGGATCAAGTTGGCAGACCCAATGAGAGTATCCTGGTTTTATTTATTTTAAACAAAAGATAGCATAATGCTTGGGCCAAAGGGTTGAATTGATCCATTTTTAAGTATCTGATCCTTTATTAAGGATGAATAAAAGATGAAAAATCTTATTTATATAAGTTGTAAACAAAACAAGATCTCCCTCCCTACACCACACACCTTAGGAAGTCTTAGGTATGAAAACAAGATAATAAAGAATCAGTTCCTTGAGTGACACATTTGTATGGTGCATCAGTGGCAGGCAGGTTGCAGAACAGTTCTAATGAAAGAAACAACCTTAGAAAGCAGGCCTTTTATCGCAAAGATAAAATGTCTCTCTTGCAGCTTTCTGTCACTTTTTCCTTGGAGGAAGGCTTCTCCAGTTCCAACATATTTCCATTAAAATAGTTGGAGTTTACTGCACCAGGATGTCAGATGTATCTCTTTCTCTGTAGTAATCGGAATTTTAAATTGTACAGTTGCCTCTGAATTTCTCATTCACAAAACCAAACCACTGATCAGTGATAAAGCAGCCACAAGCCTGCTGCTCCAGGCAGCATAATGCACCATAGGCATTAGCACTTTCTAAAGCAATGTGATTTCTATAAGTCTTAAAAGCTTTCTTCATAATGGAGTCCTTGTAACTTGTCAAGGCAGGTCTGAATGACAAAGGGGAAATAATTGCTCATGGGAGGTCCTCTTTCTGAGTATAGTTGGAGCATAAGGGTAGAAGAAACTCCCCTGGGGATACCCAGGCTCACACAAGTGATTTGGTCCCTCCCTTCCCCATCTTGCTTTTGAGGAAATGGACAGAGTAAGAAATCAGTATCTTCTTTTGAGGAAGAGTGAATGCCATGAGCCTTTGATGCAGTAGGGAAGGTTATGTCACAACACAACATTAATGATGCCATCAGACCCATCCACAAAGAGTTGCAAGTATATAGCAACAGCAATGCCAACTGCTGCCCCTTAACATAAACCCAGCAGCAGGCAGCAGCAGGATACACTTGGAGGCTACAAATTGGAATAGATCAAAGGAACAGTTGCTACAGGCAAGAAGTAGCTTTAGAGTCCCAATCTACCTGTCCTACTAGGAAGCCAGAGTCCTCAGCCAAAAGCCTCACTCAGCATGTTGCCATCCTCACTGGCAAGTATGTGGCTTTTGCTTCCTCACTAAATACAACAAACTTGAAGCTGCCCTTTCAGGGAAAACAAGAAAGAAAACATGTTTAAGATTAAAACAAAAAAAATCCACCCCACATACCCAGAGTGTCTTCAAAGTCCACGTTTATATTGGGGTTCTCTCCCTGGAAGCAGAGAGAGCTCAAATTTCATTAAGTAAGAAACTCCAGACCGACTGTTCACTTAACTGAGAGTGGTAAAACAATGGATTGTCTGAGGACTGAAAGATGGCATTGGTCAACAGGGAAGACATAGGTGTCTAGTGTTCCTGTTAACCTGACTCATGAGATCCTAGGATCTTGAGGGCCATGGTTATTTGTTTTCAGAACAGGGTTGTGGGGGGAGCTTTAAAATTTCACCACAAAAAGAGCCATATCCTTAAAACTCATGCATAAAACAAGAGGTTTTCTTAGATCTACAGCTTACCCTAAGATATGGAACAACTAGACTCTACTTTCCAACCGTTATTAGAATTATGTGCTAATATTTATTGAACTCTGCACTAAGCACTGTGCTAAATGCTTTATCTGCATCCATTTATTTCTTCCTCAGAACAGTGCTTTGGAGTTGAACTCCCAACGAGGTTCCATTTTACAGATAGGAAAATTTGGGACCTCAAGAGGCTAAGAAACTTATTCAAACTCAGTATCTAGAAAATGACCAAGCCAGAGTGTGAGTCTTGTCCCTGAGCAGTTCACTAACATTCAAGTTAGTTTTCAAGTTGGTGAGGAGTGCTCCCCTCCTAGGTTTTAGATTAGACTTTCTAGAATGAGTGAGGCCACACAACTTTCCCATCTCTGTTTTCGGTAGACTCTTCTCAGGAATGCATACAAGAGTAAAGTGTGGATCTGTGGAGGGGAGAGACAGAAAGCCTGACTGAATTACAGAATCTAGTACAATGACAACAAGACCAACCATCCATTTTGTTCTGGGTATGATTCTTGCCAAGTCAGACTTCTTAATCCTTATGACTGGAAGATATCTCAGTTGTGAGCCTCATATGTAGGAGAACATTTGATATGCAGCTATGCATCTATATGGACAGACAATGCTGTTTTCCCAATATATATGTTTTCCTTCTCTTACATCTCTCTCCAAAAATCAGATGTCTTATTTTATGTGAGATCTTTGACACTTAGGCTTTCCTCTCTCCCTTTACTTCTAGTAAAATAAAATCACCAAATAACTCAGAGCTCACTCTCTATCACTGAGAATCACCTAGAACTCAATTAACCTGAAGCATTCAATACCACCTGGAGCAAGCCACTTTGACCCTGGAATGGCTTCATCCCCAACTCTTATCAACTATCACTAAAGGGCCATATCCCTCCCAAGGTGCAGAATTCTTCCCACTAGAGCTTTGAGGCCATCACTACCAATTCTCATGAGTTGGAAATGAGAGCCATTCTCTACCTTAACCAGGGCCGCTCTTTCATATTGGTGTCCCACCCTCAGCCCTGAGGCTATAGCATTCCAAATTAAAAGCAGGAAGTGAACACAATCTACACTCATTATAACTGGGTAGTTTTGAATATTGGCACCTTCTGAACACAAAATTGGCATTTGTTCCATTAAGAGGAAATAGACAAGATCTTTTTTGAAAAACTAACTCTGAACTCAAGGTCTGTCTGAACATTTTAAACACTACTATGCCCTCATGAAAGTCTTGCTGTGAGTCTGACCCTCATGGAGCTGAGAGATGCTATGAGACAAGACGCTTGTGCATCTGTGTGCATTCTTCTGATGACAGTGGAGGGTCTGGATACTCTTGCACTCAGCCCCAGGGCTAGAGCTTGTTAGCTTCCACCTCTCATACAACCTTAGAAAGGGATTCACTAGAAATGCTAAAGACCCTGGTTGGGTCAGTCAGGGAGTTCCCTTCCGATGGTGTCAGTTTCCAAATGGCAAATCATATATGGGCATCTTTGACAAATCTTACATCACCAACCTCATAAGAACCCTGAAAAAATGTAAGTGGAGGCTTTTCTCTGTCCCTCCCTGATTGGAAATTACAGCAAAGTAAAGGGAACTGATGGGATTCTTATACTAGAGTAACACAAAAGCAATTTCTAGTCAATATTTTCATGAGGAAGTGGGATAAATTTTCTCATCTCTCTTAGTCAGCATTTTCTCTCTAGAACCATACCGAAGGTGCCCATGTTTTAGATAGGAAAGTGGAACATCCATCATGAGGGGACTGAATACCCTTTGGAGAGGACACTCTGGGGCTCTTAACAGAAAAGATGAGGTCATAGAAGTTGACATAGAAGTCGATTTGTTTGGTGATTATGACCTTTGGAAAAGGAACCTCGTCTGAATTTGGCCTTTGTGTTATTTTAGGTTTTGTTTGTTTTGATTTGTTTTTCCTCTGGGTTTGGTGTGATGTGAGACAAGTGTTTTAGTTTTGTTTTAAATAACATCAAATCCTTGCACACTCTATGCAAAAATTTTGTAAGCATTGCAATAATGCTATGAATTACAAGGAACTATTTTAACTTTATTACACTTTCTGTATAAAAACAAATTTGTATTTAATATTATTTCAACTGCAGTCTTGTAAAATATATTAATAAAAAATAATGATTGGTAAGAAGGAAAGTACCTTGTCCACTTCTTCAGGGAGTTCCTTTCTCATAGCTAATAAAATTCCAAATTAATCTCTTTTCTACATCACTTTGATCAATGTTCTAACATGTTAGCTGAGACATGTTGACTCGTGGGAAGTTACTCACATGGACTATCTCATGAAAAGAGAGGTTAATTTAAGGTAAGCATGGACTGCAATTTGAGAGTCAATTTGGAACAGGTCAAGGGAAAAGTTATTCTTAATGAATCTCTGAGCCACCCATAAGAGCTTTTACAGAAAGAACTCACCTCTCTGCTCTCCAAGACTTTGAAGAAGTCATTCCCTACTGAGGAGACCCCTTCAATCAGCATCCTTTGTTAGACTATAGAATCAGGTACTCAATCCGGGTCAAGTCAGTTTTTATCTTTTCTCAAAGAATAGACCAGCATACTCCCATATGGTGCACAGCAAGAGTATGGAGCACAGAAGGTAGAAGCTCCTTGATCTACTCATCACCCTCAGTCCTTCATTTTTAGAATTCCATCCTTCTTTCCTTCCACAATGACAAGTTGCTATACATACCATTTATTCCATCTACCTAGAACTCCATTCATCCAGCATCACTCACCCCAGAATACCATGCTTCCCAATCTCATGTGTCATCTCTCTATGGCCCTCATCATTAACCCTTAATTCCACCAGTAATTTACTTTGCCTTATAATACTGCATTTTACTGAGCTCTTACCTATTCTTCTATCTGAAACTTTAGAATATTTGCATTCAGTTTTAAAGTTTAAAAACATGAACACATACCTAAATCAATCATCGCAATTGTATTATAAGGTATATAATTTCCTTATCTAGAAAATTTCATCACATATTTTGCATATCCTGTACATGACAAAGTAATTCCCATTTACAATTGTATTTTCATCAAAGGCTATCTCTCATTAAATTTACCTGCTGACCCCCAATAGTGCTGAAGGGACAGAACACTCAAAGCCCTCATATATATACATACATACATACATACACATACATGTATGTACATATGTATGTGTGTATATGTATATATATATATATGTATGTATATACATAGTACAAGTCTCATTGCAAAGCAGGGTATAATCTATGTCTAAAGATGGAGTTTAAAAAAATCTAAATCAAAGAGAATTAAGTTGCCAGTTAAAAGATCTGGTGAAAAAAAAGTTAAATCTTAGTTTAAAAAGGTAAAGAAACACTCAAGAAGGAGAAACACAGACAAATACTGATAAATCAAACTATTGGCCTCATTGTTGGTACAAAATTAGAGATCATATGCAGATACCAAGAAACTTTACAGAAAAATGGCTGTGTTCCTTTTCTTCAAAGAAGGGGATTTTTCAAAGTTGCAAATAGATATAAATCAGCAACTGCAAGATTTCTTTGAACCTTGACCCTATCATGTAAAAGTCTGTAATGGAGCATTGTCCTTGAGCCTAAGAGCCAAAATAAAAGGGTAAGAGTGGGGATCTGTGCATGGAGTAATAAACACATTTTGAAAGAAGCTGTGAGTAACACACAGGAATTGGCATCTCCAGTTAAGGACAATGACAAGTTAATTTTAGTTTGTGTTTGCCAAGTTTAAATGACTCTCAACAATACTAAACACTTGGCAAGAACTGAGGATCAATTTGCTGCCCCCAGTACCTTCATTACTCTTCAATGGGAGGGTAACAGATGAGCTTTTGAGTCTCCTTGGCACAAGCAATTAGACATAATTACAAATACTTGTAAAATATCAAGATAACATATTATAATTTAAAATTTGATAATATAATTTTTCAGGTTGCAGTCTGTGTATGAGACAAGCATTTGGAAGTATCTAAGTTTCAGATGGTAGTTATTAATCAAAGAAACATGTTATAACTTTAACTAGTCAGCCTTAATCTACTATGAGGCCATGTTAAGAGTTGTATTTTAGCCGGGTGGTGGTGGCGCACGCCTTTAATCCCAGCACTCGGGAGGCAGAGGCAGGTGGATCTCTGTGAGTTCGAGGCCAGCCTGGTCTCCAAAGCGAGTTCCAGAAAAGGCACAAAGCTACACAGAGAAACTCTGTCTCGAAAAAAAAACAACAAAAAAAGAGTTGTATTTTAAAACATGGTATGCAAAAAAAAAATTCACCAGTAATAATCTTTAAAGTAGACAATATATATATATATATATATACATATATATATATATATATATATATATGTTTTAATGTCATTTGAGGAGAAATCTAGTTTAGCAATATGCCCCACCTCATTAATTGTACATGATGAAGCAATTAAATGAACAATAAACAAAAGTATAAGACCGTGAGAAATAAGAAAATTAAAAATTTAATTGTGTGAGATAACTATTATCACTCTATCATGTACTGTCTACAATGTTACAAAGTATAGAACACAGATACACATATACACAAACACATACATACATTTGCACACAGGCACTCATGTATCAGACATTACACACACACTTCTACATGAGAGCAAAGAGTAACTTCTCTTTGACTGTCCATGAGAACATATGAAAGAAAGAAACATCAGAATGCAAAAATTAAACTTTTCTCACTATATTCTCTCAAAACTGAAAGAGAAATAAATCATGTATTCTATGTTAACAAGATCTTTGACATTTAAAGTGAACAACATTCTGTTAATAAATCCAAGACTTGGGAAAGAAATCAGCCTATTTAAAGAATGGTAATTTGAAATACCACAAATTGTTGAATGAGGTGGTGCAGGACTTTAATCCCAGCACCCAGGAGGCAGAGACAGGTGAATCTCTGACTTCTAGGACAGACAGTGCTGTATTGTGAGACCCTGTCTCAAAAATAAAAATTTAAGAACACACTACAAATTATATGGAGGAAAGTCTTCTGAGATGTAAAAGGCTTTTTAACTTGTCAGTAGAGAATGATAAAAGCATTCACCATAAGATTCCAAAACCATTAACACAGGAACCAAACTTAACAGTAAGGCTAAGAGAAGGGGTTCAAACTTTATGTCTAAGAAAACCAAAAGCAAAAGTTTGAAAGATGCTGGACTATGGTGGTGCACGCCTTTAATCCCAGCACTTGGCAGGCAGAAGCAGGTGGATCTCTGCAAGTTTGAGGCCAGCCTGGTCTACAGAGTGAGTTCCAGGACAGCCAAGGCTACACAAAGAAACCTGTCTCAAAAAATCAAAAAGAAAGAAAGAAAAAAATCTGAAAGAGACAATACTGCCAATAAATCTTTAAAACAAAAATAAACTGTAAAAACACATATGTAAAATTACATTATTTATTTCTTTATGTGGAAAAAATAGACTACCTAAAATGAGGTATAGAATTTTTAAAATTCAGCAAGTAAAGGTCAGTGCTTGCTTCTCAAACAGCTGTAAAGCGCTTCTCATGTAGAAAACACCACCAAGTCTGATACTGTTTGCTATATAAATGAAACATACATTAAGTATAATGGGCATGTGTTCAGACATTCATAAACTTTTGTGTGGAAGAATGGAATGTGCCTTTATCTTATGCTAAGAAAAACCACACAGTTTTCAAAGAGAGTAAAATAAAATGAAGAGGCCTGCCCTTAGCTGTAAAGAGAAAAATTGATAGGGCTTTTCTTGTTTTCCCTCAACCTTATTTATTTACACATTTAACATTCTGCCCAACAGGCATTTTATTCTAAGAAATAAAATATATATATTATATATATATTATAAATATATATATATAATATATAATGGTCAGGTATAATAAAATAGAAAACAAATAGCAAAGATAAACAATAGATTCTAAACAAAACCTAACAGATTTTCAAAACTACCAAACAGCCATAGTAAAGGTAACATGTTCAAAATGTGTGTGATGTCTGTACCCACTGAGGTTGCAATGGGTAATCACGATATTGAAATAGCCCAGATATGAAATAAAGGATGCTGGGAAAACAGCTGGATTATCAGCACAAACAAAGAGAAAATGTAAAGATCATGAGACTAATATTTGAAAAACTGATCAGCCATTTATTTGTTGAAGTCAAAAGGCTTCAAGGTCATACCTTAAATTATCTCCAGTGGACCAGACTTAGGAACATTGCTTTTTATCTGGTATCTATGGAGTCCTTATGCTCTTGTAAATAACACATGCCCCTTGATTTAGGAAATCGCATAGCCTCGCCTGCTGGGTGCACAAAGATCTAAAATGCACAGTTACAACACAGCATGGAAGATAAGACAAAATAAGACAATCATTTAACCCACAGTCTGTGAAGAAAAACGAGCCCACTCAAGTACTCATTTTGTTTTGGGGGGATTTGAGGATCTTTTTGGTGGGATTTTTTTTTTTTAAAAAGATGGTTGTTTCATGACTCAGACTGGCCTCAAATTAACAGTTATATTCCAGCCTCAGTTCCCCAAGTGCTGTAATGAGAAGCATATGCTACCACATCCAAACAGCCTGTGTAACTCTCAAATTCCTTCTTCTCTCAGCCCACTGTCATGCACAGGAGTTCTACTATAGATAGGTAGATAGGTAGGTAAGTAGGTAGATACATAGATAGATAGATAGATAGATAGATAGATAGATAGATAGATAGATAGATAGATAGATAAAAGGACTGGAAAGATGGTTCAACATTTAAAAGGAATATGCTATTTTTTTCAGAAGACCTGAGTTTGATTCCCCAAACCCAAGTCAGGTGGTACCTCCAGCTCCAGAAGATCCAGTGCCACTGACCACCTCCAATACTGCACTCACATGTGCATACACTCACACACATACAATTACAAATGAATATAAGTAAACAATATCAATAAACAGAACAAATGATTAAATATGATAAGCTTGAAAGTGCTCATACAGATAAATAATAAAACCCTCAAAATATTAATATATAAATGTGCAAAAGGGAATAATAAGTACATATAATTCATATAAGTGAA